ATACATTTTTTTTTTAAGAAGACATTTGTTTATAACACAAGTACATCTAAAACAGATAAAATTGACTATATGCCATATTCTAATGCAAAGAACATGCCATGCACATTACATGCATTTACAAACTGTACAACCACTTTCATAAGCATGCTATACTAATATATTTTTATATGTTGCTGACTTTAATTTACATTTTTTCTTCCTGTCTAACGGATTTAACATTACTAGGATTAAGCTGATCTCACAGAAATGTCATTTAAGGTAGACATTTCCCTAAACTAAGCAGAAATAATGGTGAACTGAATGGGTTCATGATGGAAATGGGACACCGTGTTGAAACCAAAAAGTATGAATGCTAATGTAAGTGAAAAATGATCCTAGGCCTAAAACTATAAGAACAAGATGTCTCTTATGTTATATTGCTTTCATAAATCATAAACGGAAACAAAATGTTACTTATGCCTTATTGCTTTCATGAATCTTAAATGGAAACATAATTTTGACCTTTTCCTTCTTTCTTGTCTTCTCAATGACTTTTTGCTTTCTTCATTTATGATGTTCTTGATGTCATCCTGCAACTCTTCTGATCTTCGGTCTTTAGTGTTTAATGTATCAACTCTGTTTTTCAGATGATCCCTAAACTCAGGTGGGATATCTTCAAGGTCATATTTTGGCATTCGTGAATTTGTTTTCATTTTCTTCTGCTTCACTTTGAATTTGCATTTGAGTAATTGATGGTCTGTTCCACAGTCTGCCCCTGGCCTTGTTTTCACCGAGGATAAGGAGCTTTTCCATCTTTTCTTTCTGCAGATGTAGTCAATTTGATTTCTATGTATTCCATCTGATGAGGTCCATGTGTATATTTGTCTCTTATGCTGTCTAAAGAAGGTATTTGAAATGAACAAATCATTGATTTTGCATAATTCTATCATGTGTTCTGCAGCATCATTTCTATCACCAAGGCTGTATTTTCCAACTACTGATCCTTCCTCTTTGCTCCCAACCTTTGCATTCCAATCACCAGTAATGATCAATACATCTTGATTGCATGTTTGATTGATTTCAGATAGAAGAAGTTGGTAGAATTCTTCTATTTCATCTTCACTGGCTTTAGTGGTTGGTGTGTAAATTTGAATAACAGTGGTATTAACTGTGCTTCCCTGAAGCCGCATAGACATTATCCTATCACAGACAGAGTTGTACCTCATGACTGATCTAGATATGTCCTTTTTGACGATGAACGCAACGCCATTTCTCTTAAATTTATCATTCCCGGCATAGTAGACCATATGGTTGTCAGACTAAAAATGGCCAATACCAACCAGTCCATTTCAGTTCACTAATACCTAAGATGTTGATGTTTTTGAGTTCCAATTTTCCCAGATTCATACTTCGTACATTCCATGTTCTGATTTTCAATGGATGTTTACAGCTGTTTCTCTTCATTTTGAGTTGTGCCCCATCAGCACATGAAGGTTCTGTGGGCTTTTCTACCATGGTCTTTACTCCATTTGCGGTATCACTGTGAACTCTACTTTGCAGAGGCAGCTCTTCTGCAGTCGGATTTTGAGTGCCTTACAACCTTAGGTGTTCATTTTCCGGCACTATATCTGACAGTGTTTCTCTGCTATTCATAAGGTTTTCAGTGACTAAAGATTCGGAAGTAGTTTGTCATTCTTTCTTCTTAGTCTGTCTTTGTCTGGAAGCTCATCTGAAACTTGTCCACCATGGGTGACCCTGCTGGCGTTTAAAATACCGGTGGCATAGCTTTCAAGCCACCATAGTATGACAAACTGACAGACAAGTGGTGGCCATTTGGTTTTAAGTGGAAACTGTCACTTTAAATTTCGAGGAAATCTGTGCACATGCGTAGTAGAATATTAATGTTGAGAAATTACTGAAACGTTTTCTAAAGTGTCTGTACCATTTTACAATCCCATCCGCTGTGAATGTCTGATATTAGTATAACTTCTTCACATCTTTTTGATTACAATGTGCATGACATATCTTGTTTCATCCTTTTATTTCAACACAGTTTTGTATTTGAATTTAAAGCATGTAGTGTAGTGGTTACGAATCGGGCTGCAAACCTTAAGGTCAGTGGTTCGAAACTACCAGCCGCTCCGCGGGAGAAAGATGAGGCTTTCTACTCCCTTAAAGATTTACACCATCGGAAACCCTGTACAGGGTCGCTATTGGTCGGAACCAACTCGACGGCACTTAACAACCACAACATTTTTAGAAAGCATATAATTGAATCATGTTTTTAATTCATTATGTCAGTCTCTGCCTTTTAACTGGATTTTTATTCCATTTGCATTTAGCGAAATTACTGATACAATTGTGATTTCACCTGGTAATTTTTTTCTTGATATTTTATATAATTTTTGTTCCTTTATTCTCCTGTTATTGCTTTAAATATACATTGTTAAATATAGATATCCTTTTTTTTTGCAGATTTATAAATGTATTTGATCTTAAACTGTTAGTTTTCATCCACATTGACTGTGTGTAGGTGTTTGAAAGTGGTGACCGGCACAAAAGTCACCAGTGTATAGTGCTTTTTTGGTGAATCTTTATCCTCATTATGTTTTCTGGACAACTGCATCCAGATACGGGTATGAGCCTCCTGATTCCTTTGGCCCAGACAGTTTTTGTTGAGCCTGGTGTCAATGCGCACATCTGGTGTTTCCATCTCCTTCATGGCAATTTTCCGAATCTCTTTGAGTGCTGCAGGGGTACGCTTCTTGAAGCCTACTCCATGGATGTGCTTGTGAATGTTGATGGTGTACTCTCTGGTCACCACTTCGTTGAAAACAGAATGGCCCTTCTTCTTCTTGCCATCCTTCTTTGCGGGAGCCATAGTGATGGGATGAGGTTGGAAAGTATAGATATATTTTTATGTGTTAATTATAGCGTTTTAATTTCCTTGTCATTTCTTGCTATATATACTTTAGTTTTCTTAGTAATGTGAAATTAAGATATGATGGAAAATGAGGATAATTGGACTAAGGTTCCTTCAGAGTTAGAAAATGATGAGAGGCTTTGCATGACTTATGAGTTGCTATTGTTGTTGTTGTTAAGTGCCTTCAAGTCGGTTCCAACTCACAGTGACTCTATATAGGGTTTTCTAGGAGCAGTTAGTGAATTTGAACCACCAACCTTACAGTTTAAGCTGACCAAGTGAATGCTCATTCCTTTTTTTTTTTTTATTAATTTCTTTAATTTTCTCTATATTCCATCTGCTTCTTTCTTTTCAAAATTTCTAATACCCAGTGATGATTGCAGCGTTCCCTGAAATGTATCTCAGAAACTCAAAGTGCCTGTTTGCTCAGTCCTCTGGGAGATGGACCAAGACCCAAGGTGTCTGCTCTTAGAACTAGAACATGTCCTCATGATTTTTGAAATTGTAGAAAACATACTTCACAGGTTATAAGAGATTGAAATCCAGAGTCCTACTTGCCTTCCTGCTCTTCCTGTTAGAATAGATTTCAGAAAGGTTTTCTGCAAATGGGAAATGCTGAGATAATTAATTTGAGCAAATTTAGCTTCAAGGTCAAGAATGATAATTGATCAATAACAGAGTGCAAACTTTCATTAAATGTTTTTTAATAGTGAAGTTTGTAAAACAAAACAATAAATATCAAGCAAGCCAGAAAGAATTTGTATCTAGTCAAATTTTTTTTACATACACACATATGCATATAAAGAGTAATATAGTAGTACAGGCTTTCACACAAAAGATCATTCTCTACTTTATTGAAAGGATGCATGTAAGGGAATAAGGGATATACAGAAGAAATGGGGAGAGTTTAATAAAGAAATGGATGTCCTTAAGAAGTTAAACTGGGAGACATTCACAAGGGGAAAAGTAGATGAACTTTGCTTTATTCTTGTTCAAATTTATACTGAACCATTGTTCTGTGGTATACCAGGAACTAAGAATTGTGGAAGCCATACACCATTTACCTGCGAAGGCAAAAAAAGCAGTCAACAGAGTCCTGAAAAATTTATAGCTCCGTCTTATGTTATGCAGAATTACAGAGGGAAGGTGCCAGTCTCCATAACTAATCCAGTTCATTGACAGCTATTTCCATCTTTCAGATTCCAAACTAAGTTTTTGATCCATATGATAAGGTATGGAAAGTATATCCAATGAGCAGGTTAAATCTTTGCATTAGTTCATACCATCCTCCTTGCAGTGAGTTGCTAGTCACTCCAGACAGACAGAGAGATACAATTCTTTACTCAAATTTTCTCCAATGTTTGTAGAGCTTTCCTAACATTTTTCATTGAGATAGCATTCCTAATCTCTGATTTAGTTTTGGTCAGTGCCACATTTTGGATAATAGATTCTATTCCATGAGTACCAGTCATTTTCTGGTATATAAGTTGTTGCAGATGTGATACCTTGTGACTGACTCTAAGAATGGTTTCTATCTGAAAGTACAAGTTGCAAATGCCTTCAAACAACAAGTTCAATTCCCCAGACTATACATTGATTTCTTGGACTTGCCCAAATATGGTTATGACACTAAGGGATCTGAGTGTACTCAGGTTTACAGTTTACCCAGACTTGTTTATGCCAAGAACTAAACAGTTCTATTCTGCATTGATCTGACTTTCAACTATGAAAGTCATAGGCAGTATTGTCTGAAGGCTCAAGAATACTTTGGAAATTCTCCCAACCAGTTGTTTTTAGACTAATAATATTACTACGCAGGTCTAAGATGGGGTTGTTATGACCAGATGATTTTCAAACCTTATTCCATTTCCCAAGCTTCATTCACCTTTCTGGATACAGAGCACATGCTTTCCAAGACTTTATAAATTCTAAGAAACACTATGAGATGAACTGGCAAAATGGCAGTATCTGGGCTCAAGCATGGCAACAATTGTGAGGTTGGCCCAGGACCGGGCAGTGTTTCATTCTGTTGTTCATCGGGTCACTTATGAGTTGATACTGACTCGATGGCACCTAATAACTACAACAACAACAAACACTAGCACAAAAAGTTGAATGTTCCCAGGCACTATTTTTTTCATTATGTCACCCAAGTCACATGGATTATCCTTTCTATCAATCCTTAAATCTTACTGTGATGGTTAAGGTTATATGTCAACTTGACTAGGCCACATGCTCAAAGGTTTAGCAGATATTATGCAGTTAGTCATCCTCCATTTTATGGCTTGATGTGATCAGTTAATCAGGTGAAAAGGGAGTTTCTTTGGGGATGTGGCCTACATACAATATATTTGCATTGCTATCTCTTGATGGTGCATCTGACTTGTCATCCCCTGACCTTTGGTTTTTGAGATGTGAGCCAGTAGCCTGTCTTCTGACATACGGATTTTGGAATTTGGCAGTTCTGTGAGCCACCAGCCTGCTTCCTGGCCTGCTGCATTTGCATTTGTCAGTCCTTGAAACCACGAGTCAGGATAAGCTTCCAACCTGATGCCTGACCCAAGGATTTTGGAACTTGCTAACTTCCACAACTGGAGTCCTGGTGTGGCGCTGTGGGTTAATGAGCTGGGCTGCAAAGTTGGTTTGAATCACAAGGTCTGTGGTTCAAGCTCACCAGCTGCTGCTCAGAAACCCTATACAGGGTTGCTATGGGTCAAACTGACTCAACAGCACTTAACAACAAATTTCCATAAACTCATGGGCTATTCCTTAAAATAAATCTCTCTTTCTCCTTTTTCTTATCTCTTTCTCTCTCTATATACATAATGTTGCTGTTGTTAACCTTGTGATTAGCAATCCAGTGCTTCCCTACAGCACCACACCAGGACTCCATATATATAGTTTGAAACTACCAACTGTCAGCAGTTTGAAACTACCAATTGTTCTGCGGGAGAAAGAGGAGGCTTTCTGCTCCTGTAAAGATTTACAGCCTTGGAAACCCTGTACAGGGTCGCTATGGGATGGAATCGGCACAGCACTTAATAACAACATATATATATATATATACACACACATACACACACGTATGTGTATATGTATATATATATATATATATACACTCTGGACCGCTAGGTCAGTTTGAACCAAAAGGTCAGCAGTTCAAAGTCACCAGTCACTTTTGGAAACCCTATACATGGTAGTTATGAGTACAGACTGACTAGATGGCACTTAACAACTATACACACACACACACACACACACACACACACTTCAATGGTTTTGCTTCTCTAGAGAACCCAACCTAAGACACTAACTTTAGGATCCCAAGCTCCAAAGACTAAGAAACTTCTTAAAGACTCCCTCTTTCTCTCAACTCATTATATTGCCACAGAGCAAATATAGTTATTCAGTGCCCCATATTTCCAAATGGAAATTCCTAGTGGTTACCCAAAATTCATACCTGTTCCTCAACTACCTTTCCTGAGGAGAAATGTTACAAAAGTCAGGATATGGGCTCAAAGCTATGGAAATAAGAGTGTAGCTACAAGCAGGTGCAAAAAAGCTGCCTCCCACATATGTTTTGCACTCATTTTTCTATCATCCTGTTTACATCTCATAAGAAAACCCAATGGAAGTACAATGCCTATAGATGTTAGGATTTCCCATCCCCATTCTACTATCAGGGGACTGGAAAATCTAATAGCACTGGATAAAATCAAGAAATACCAAAGACAAACTTACCTTAGCAGGCTTTGTTAGAAGTGGTAGTAAAGGGATAACCTGTGAAAAATGCTTTTGTTTAGGTAACATAAGGAAACACAGGTTGAGTGATAAGAATTTCCTCTCCCCCCTGCCCCCACACAAAACTAATAAATAATAAAAAATAAAATTTAAAGACATAGGAATCTTTTTCATAACATTGAGCTTATATCTTAACACACGTCTATGATTTTATATCTTCCTAATAAACTGTTGTGGGGAGTCCTGGTGTGGTGCTGTGGGTTAATGTGCCAGACTGCAAAGCCATTTGAACTGCAAGGTTGGCGGTTCAAGCTTACCAGCTGCTCCTTGAAAACCCTATACAGGGTCGCTATGGGTCAGAACCGACTCGACGGCACTTAACAACAACAACAACAATAATCTGTTGTCATTTATTTAAAATGTGGCCTCTATAATCTCTGTCTGGGATTCCCTGACTCCCTTTTCATTTTGCTGGACCTTTGTAGGGATACCAGGTTAATCCGTGAGATTGTCACTAGCCAACTGGAGCATTACAAAACGAATGTTTGCTGCTGTTGTTGTAAAGTTTTACCTAATATATACTTTTACTTCTCTGTGATGTAATGTCAGACTACACTTTCCTTTCCAATCTTCTATGAGGAATGAGTTGAGTTCTACATATTTTATATCCTTCTCTTTCAGAGACTTCATGGTTAGTCAAACAACACTTATGGACAAGTTTCTTTCCCATAGCTCTTCACTGGTGCAACAGGGAAAGAGTCCTTGGGGGTCTTGCTGTGTCACAAACATTGAGAAAGAACTAATGCTTGATCTAGTGGAAAGGTGAGAAGATAGTGTCATTTTGTACAGAACATTGTTATTGCCAAGATTCTCTCCTCAGTTGTTATCATATGATTGTCAGAGGTTTAGGCTGGTAGATTCCATGGAGAGTGTAAACAATTTCAAATGATCAAAATCAAACACTCACCTCATTCGTGTCATTCTTGGAGGTAGTGGTAGAAGGATCCTCTAATGTAGACAGAAATAAGTTTGTAGTACATGTGGAGGCAAGTGGAAAGAAAATTTAGAGTTTTTAGATCCTTACCCAGGTAATGGGACTCCTGGTGTTGCTGTAGTATCAGCACTGTACTGTGAACCACAAGGTCAGCAGTTCAAACCCACCAGCTGTTCCTTGGAAACCCTATCCAGGGTTACTGTATGAGTTGGAAGTGACTCAA